TATGACCCTGGAAGACTAAGACTGAGTTAATGGTGTGGTGATACTATGACCCTTGTAAATATTGCTGGTCCTTCACTGGGAAGGACCTTCTTACTTTATTGTGGGTGGGAGCCTCCTTCAATATAGTGTGTTTTGGTGCAGCTTTTCAACATATTCTTCATTGTATGCTTAATTTAGTGACAATGGACTTGAGATTCTTGGTGACATGATCTGATATACTAGCTGAACTCTTTCGACAGTGTGTTGTGGTGTTAACCTAGAGCAATGAAGTCTGAAGCATTCTGGGAATCAAGTCACAGGCTGCATGCTTGCTTGAAGCTGTAGCTTAGGGAATGTGTGTACGTGCCATGTGAAAAGCCTTACACATACCCAAAAAATGGGTTTTCGCATTCCTTTGAGTAGAGGAACACATGAGGCTCAGACAACAGAGAAATGGCTGGCAGCGCAAGAGATATGATAAAGATACGGATCACAACTGATAGTTCATAAAGCACATTTTCTTGGAGAATCTTGCCCAGAAGACAATGTGGGAGACTGTCTTAGAAAACATGGGTGTAAATGTCAGGATTCATGTAAAAGTTTCTTTCCAAACAACAGTAAAAGCTGCTGTCTCATCCCTATTGTAAGAGGCAGCTTTGCTTTCTCATCAGTAGTTCAGGTGAAGTATCTTCATCTATGAAGAGACCTGAGTGACTGTGAAGACATTCCTGTTGGAGTGTGTGGAATGAATAGTAGAAAATAGCCTGGGCAGTTTAGAAATGGCTGCATACCAACAGGCATTCGTGCAAAACAGGGAGGAGAGAACTATCCGAGTTCAACGAAGATTGGAGGTCTGCTTGAAATTTCCGATTTATAGAAGAGAAGATGATCAAGTATATGTCAGTAGCTTCCCATCATAACTAGTGTGAAACCTTTCTGGTGGCATAAATACTAGGCTTGTGATTTAATCATTAGTTGGGCAAAATACAATCTCAAGGTTTGTACCTCTTGGGTATTTCAGTATCTGAAGAAAATGTAAAGTCGTAGCTGAGAGGCTTTTTTTTTTTCCTTCTTTAGGGAGGTTACCCTTATCTGTTTCAAATACCTCTTTTCGTCAGCAAATGGACAGTGAGGATGTCTGGAAATAGTCTTAAATTTAATTTAGGATTTACTATAACTAATGCAATCTATGAATGAGTTCAAACAATATTCCATGTATTTGCATTGTGTATTTCCAATTTTAAAAGAAATATAATTTTGTAGATGCTCTGCTTATGCTAACTCTACCTGTATCAAATGCCAGGGTTTAATGAAGCATTTAAGGTTTACTCTATTTGACTTTTGAATGAATTCAAACAATTTTTCATGTACTTGCATTTTATATTTTGTAAAAGATGGTTTTCAAATACTTACTTGTGTAGGACCGTCATCTCTCTGTGTTAGTTCAAATACCAGTATTCATGTAATTTGTGACGAGCGTGCAAGTTCTGACTTAGGAAATAATGTTTGAATTCAGTCTTGACAGTGGGCATTTTATTACCATTAATTTTTTTATGCAACTTCAGCACTTGATGAAAATTCATATCCCTAGGGACCGAAATCTCCATCTTGGAGAACCTTGAACACCCCCTGAATGCCCATTCTGCAACCCATGCATCCTCATTTAACTGTGGAAATCACCTGAAGGAAAAAGTCCATGTCGTGAGACAAAAATGTAGTTTTGGTGTTCTCTTTAATCTCAGTGTGTTTCAGTGAAACCTTGATATGCGGTGCTCCTTGAATCTTATCGGCCCCTGGTTGAGTTTTGATAGACTGACGTACCGTTGGACCAAAGGTCCTTCTGTCAACGGGAGAGAAGGGCAGCAAGTGCCTGGTTTGCTGACACTGAGCAAATATAAAGTGATTCCTCCCCCACTATACTTGCCACCCTCTTGCAGGCAGCTCCTAGGTACTTTAAAAACTAACTGCATTTTAAAGGAATAAAAAAAGTATTGATCTAATGCTTGTTAATGTTGAATATGTTGGCACGTTCCCTTGACGAGTTTGTATTAATTTGAAATAAAAGTACTCTGAATTGAGGACATAAAATGTCTTACCCTTAATTTTAACTGCAATTAGTGCATTAAGAAACTCTTCTGAGATATTTAGGAAACAGGTCAAATCCTTTCTTAGTCAAAAGTGATAGGCCGAGTTCGGTAATACTTTATAGTGATGCAAAGCTTGTTAGGAGCTGGGCTTTAGCTGGTGAAGCTTTTAAGCTTACTGGTTTGAGGGATCTTAAAAAATGTTTTTGTGGGGCAGACATCATTCTTATTCCTTTGCTGGGCATGTTTTGTGTTCAGTTCTCGGACTAGTTTAAGTTGTGTAGCTGCTACAAAGATTGCTTTCAGTAACTAAAGCTCCAAGAGATTAATGGCATTTTAATAGCAATCAAAACTACTCATTTTTTTCATGGAGTGTTCTCCAGACAGCAAGAAATTAATTATTTTTGTTATCTCTTAAAAGTTAAAAAAAAAAAAAAAAAAAAAAAAGGTAGAGAGCTTTATGTGCTGGAGGACAGCTACAGGCACAGTTCCACAGGGGACTGACTTATTTCCAGTTGCACAGGATTTTCAGTCTGGTTTGCAGCCGAGATGTATGTTAGCTGCTCGGCTTTGGCAGTTTGGTCATTGTCGGAAGGGAAGTCGGACCCGGAGTAACGATGGAATCTCAACATGAATATGGTCGTTCTCGTTTATTGCGCAGCTAGCAAAAGCATATATAGGCAGAAAACAATAACATACACATGAGTCACACTGTGGTTGGTAGAACGCCGCTATATACACGCCTCCATCGCTACCGTGATTGGGACAGATCATCTGTCCATGCGGAGGGGCTTCTCCATCTTTTCCAGTCATAGTTCCGCCCACTTCCGCTGCAGAGCATGGGCTGTTGAATGGGACTAAGTCGTGCCCATTCTCACTCAGCCACTCCTCCACAGGTCATGGCAACTGCCTCTTATTAATAGTTTTCAGAGGACTTCTGTCTCCATTCTCTTTAAAAAAGAGTGATACAGAAAGCAAATCTGCTTCATGGTGACTATGTAACTGAGAAGAAAGGGCGTTAATATCAGGATTAGGTTTGGGGTCGTTCAGTACTGTGCCGGATACGTTGATGGACCCTCATTTGGTTGCCTTCCTGCTGTGGGCCGCTCCAGGTCGCCTGAAGTCCTTTGACTTCTAAAGAGTCAGTGAAAAGTAACAGGACACGTATTCAGCCCAGACTTTCAATGCCTTCCTCTCACTGTTGACTGGGTGAAACTTATCTGTCTCCAAAGGATAAATTGGTCCACTGAAGGTCACTGACTCTTTGCTTGGAGAGAGAGAAAGGGAGAAGGGGGCGCGGGGTTGGTGTGGTTGACTGGAATGAGTCACCTCAGAGGATTAAGCAGCTCTGGAAAGTGGACAGACTGCTTATTTTGGGGGATTTAGTTGGATTTAGGTACAAACACAACTGAGCTTTAGGTAAACTGCATCCCACCCTGTAACAGAGGACACTCAGTTTTTGCAGGGGCTGTGAGAATTTTTTGTTTCTAGATATATTTCCAGGGGAGGAGTGAACAGGAGGGCATAATTAAACAAAGCGAAAGGAAAGTGCTTGTGGAAATGTACTTGGCATTACATGCTGTGTTGGTTTTTAGTCTCATTTTCCTAAGAATCCAAAGTGTATGTGGTTACCTTGTTTCTCCAGTCCTTCCTCATAAAACCTCCTTGAAGATTTTGCTGCACTTCAACCACTTCTGAACTTTGATTAAAGTAGTTGCAGGATGTTCGAGAGGCACAAAACCAATTCCTGCACTGTAGCAAAGGTTGCTGTAAAAACTCAAGGCTGACGGATCATGCCGGGTGTGCCGTGGAACAACTTGCTGGTTATGTATAAGTTTCCCTGTCAATGTGTAGCTGGGAACTAGCTGCAACACGTATTGCAGCTTGCTGTGTCCCAGTGATTAACCGAAGTGGAAGAGGGACAGGGGGACACTGGAAGTACTCTGGTGGAGTGTAGTGAAGAACCAGATTATTGCCTTAGCGGTGGCTGAAGATAAGGGGCATGGGATGCACATTCATGGGAAACTGGGCTTTATTGCTTCTGCTCGGCTTTCTTCTTTTGCTGCTCTTCTAATTTTACTGTAAAACCTCTTTCTGTTTTTTATTTTTCTTTTACATTTGTAAGTCCATGAATAAATTATAGTAAAATAACTGGCCTGTTATATAAGGTGAAAATAGCTAGTGCTCTTATGCTAGATGAACGCAAATACATATTACTTTGTTGTATGAAGCTCTGTGTGATCCAAGTCTAGAAGAAAGCTGGGCTGCATGTACAGATGTGAATGAAGAACAGTCTTGAAGGGAATGCTGACACTGGTTGACCACAGAGGTGTTTGCCTTAATTCAGAAACCTGAAATTTTGTGTTCGTTCAAAACCTGAACAGCTCAGAACTGCAACAGCAGTCTTCTGACCTTCATAGGCTTCAAGAAATACTTTGCACAGGGTTCACATTCTCTAAAATGTAAGACGTGGCAATTATATTTCCAGCACTGTAATTGAGATAAAAGTCATCATGACTTTAAAGAAAAATAGGGGATGATTTATTTTATTAAAATTTTCTCGTGGGGATTAATTAACTGAGATTTGGCAAGCCTTTAAGATTCTCATGTTCTTGTTATGTTCTTAAATTGGCTTTCCTAGTTGTTCTTAGGAAGTGGGCTAAATGAGTATAGCTGACCAAGTTGAGTCTTTACTTAGCCCAGGTTTTTGCTCATGATTTTTTAATGAAGATCAGCACATGTGAGAAATACAGTAGCTGCTCTCTGCCTATAGCAGTGTTTGGATTTTAATTTCTTGGTTTGTTCTTGTTCAAAGATGTGGAACTACTGCTTCAGAGGTTCCACTTAATGTGTGCACATACATGTGTGCAAGATACTGTGTTCAGGGTATTTCTGTATTTGTAGGGTTTTGGTTTTATTTTCTTAATTTCTTTTTAGCGGACATAGCTCAGAGATACAGGATAAGCAAATATCCAACTCTGAAACTCTTCCGGAATGGAATGATGATGAAGAGAGAATACAGGGGCCAGAGATCTGTGACAGCAATAGCAGATTATATCAGGCAGCAGAAGAGTAACCCTATTCGGGAGGTCCAGGACTTGGAAGAAATTAGTTCTCTTGATGTAAGTCTTTCCATTTTATGCCTTCTGAATATATGCTTATTCTTTTTTATGTTGAACTGGTGAAACATAATGTATTTGAAGTACGTATTTACTACTTTTTTTCCATTCAGAAATGTTGAGTGCTTTTTTTAAACAGAGTGGAAAACTGGATCTTTTCCAGTATTGCAAATTATTCCAGTATAATCACTTTCAACTGCATTCATTTTGTTACAGTAACTCCACTACCACATTACTTATTTTACTTTTAATAATTTGAAAAGAATCATATGTTGTATTTGACAAGATACTTTAATATTCCTTCAATATTAATATATTGAAAAGGCAGAAAAGAAATAACTTCTGCACAGTTATTGACTGTTGTATTTAATTGACTTCTGAATTTAATATCCTTAGGGAGTAATGACAGTTTTTGATAATTTGAGGTAACTTGTAATTTAACCTTTGTTTTTACAGCGCAGCAGAAGAAATATTGTTGGATACTTTGAGCAAAAGGACTCTGACAATTACAGAACCTTTGAAAGAGTAGCGAATATTTTGCATGATGATTGTGTATTCCTGTCTGCCTTTGGGTAAGTTTTAAAATTTGTTGATTGTATGACTTCACTATTGAAATTATGTTAATGAGCTGTATATAATTTAATTGAATGGACTGCTTTAATACTTTCATTGTGGCATAACTGAAGAGACTAGACCTTAACACATAAATACACTGAGAGAAAGATAGGAGGAGGGGGGAGAGAACTCGTTGTAGCCTTAAAGTTTGCTGTGAAATCCAACTTTGACTTTTGCCTCCTTTATCTTTTTTTCCACTCCTTGTCATTATAGTTTAAATGTAATTGGGGAAGTTTGGGGGCGGGGGGAATGCTAGACAGTTGTGTCCCAAAAACCTGCTTCTTTGGAGGGAGAGGGGAACCAAGTAGGGTAGAGTTTGAAAACTTTTTGGAAAAAAATTTATCACTTTGCAGACTGAGTAACACTTTTTTTGCAGCCTCTTAATTTTTTTTTTCTTTAAAATGTGACCATTTTTATAGGTTTTTTTCCTTCTTTTTGTAGGTTCCCCCCCCCCTTCCTTTTTCCCTGTAAGGAATAATTCAGTAGTTGTTTGCTCATTTCCTCTTGATGTCGGGGAGAGGACCTTGTTACAAAATGCCTGATGACTGTGCCTGGGTCTGTTTCATGCGAGTTCTATGTCACTGCACAGGGTAACAGTTTAGAAAGGCAATTGCCTTGATGAGCTTCATAGCATGAGCCTAAAGAACAACCTACAGAAATTCAGATTTCTCCTTGTTGTACAGATCTACCGTGATATTTAAAAATATTAAAAGATCTTCACTGGAGGAAGAACAATAAACTGGGAGTGATTCCCTTTTTAAATAGCATAATAAAATGCAATTATAGATTCTTTCTGCAGTGTTTAATGTGCCAGCTAATCAATTTGAAGTGATTGGGCATTAACATGAATGCAGTGGTTTGCAGTCTACTCACAGTAGCAAGATCAGGAATTTGCATGGGTTATACTAGCTTTTATACTGCATACAGTTGCCCTAAAGGTTTCTTGAATTGGATGTAATGAAGGGTGGTGGAGAAGCCGGGAGGATGTATCAAGGCAGAAAATATTCCATCTGTTTGAAAAAAACCTTGTTGTCAGTCACTGTTGCATCTTCCAACGTGTTTCCAAAAAAAAGTTTGGAGGTTGGGGAGAGTATTTGTAATGTGCAGGAGTACACGTGGCTTTCCTTTCCTCCTGTTCCCAGTTAGGCATCCTGTGACTCTGTAAGCAGCCTTGGCTGTGAGAGAATAATCAAATCTTGCAAATCTGTGGTCTGTAGGTCTGTCAGTCCTATCCCCAAAGAGTGGCCATTATCTCAGAAGTTTTCTGATGAGTGATCCATGCTTGCTCTGAGGGCAGCCGGTCTGAGTTATTAGAATTTAAAATTATTTTTTGCCCCCTTCCACCACGTGACTTTTAATTCTCTTTAAAATCATTAGTAAGATAACAGTACTTCTAAGATTCTCTCTCCTGTTGTGCGAGTCTGTTTGTCTTCAGTTTGCCACTTATCAGCTACATATGAGTATTATTATAATTATATATATATACACACACACACACACACTCAGTATTAGTATTTGGTTGTTGGATGCCGTTCTTGAAGTAGTTACTCTGGGATTTTTTTTTATTTTTTTTTTCTTTAGATATAAGCAATAGGCAAACATAATGGAACAGATCAGTTTGATTATTTTTAACCTGCCCATGTAACTACAGATTGCACAGCAGGCTTGTCATTATTCTCTTCTCCAGACTTCCGTTCCCTTTCTAGCCTGGAGCTGTTAGTGTTTTAAAGTGCAGCCTTCCAGACAGCAACCTTGGAAACTAAATGTTTTCATCTCTGAGTGGCTTTGCCTCTCAAGCTTCCTAAAAAATTATATGTGAAAGACTTCTGAGGAAGATACTGGCTATATAACAGTGATTTCAGATTATATAAAGCAAAATGTTTCATGGGGAGCTGGCCAGGATCAGTGGAACTCTTCTCACCGAGCATCCTGACAGCCCCTGGGAGGCATTTTTGGATTTGTTATGGACAGAGTTCAACAGGTATATGGTTTGGGAGGTATATGGTAATGTGAGCTGTCATGTTCAAACTTCTAGTAAGCTAAAATAAACTCAAAACAGTCTGACAGGAAAAAATTACTTTGCTAACTTCTGTGAAAGCAGAACTGTTCCCTGCTATGCCAAAATTACTCTAGCTTTAGGTAGTTGTAATAGCTTATTTTTAAACTGTGTTAACGGTACTTAGTTGCAGATCATCTTGATGCTTCAAACTATTCTTAAATTAACTGATCCTTACAGTTCTGTTAAGATCTGAGGTGACTGCAGAGCAGGACTAATGAGAGAAGACTTGTAAGCAGAAGGAGATAGGAGGGATACTGATGAAGAGATACTAGAGGTGAATTTTAGAAGAAGAACTAGAGAGGGATAAACCTGAAATGATTGTAGACATGGAAGAGAATGGCCTTGTGCCAACGGGCTGTAGCTTAGGAAGGCAAATACAGTAAACAAAAACAAACAGCCAAACAATACTTTTATCTTAAAAGGCTAAGATGAACTGTAGATAATTCATGGAAGAGAGTGACGAATCTAGGAACTGGTTTATGTTAGCAAGCAAATACGAGGGGAGAGGGTATTGTGTGCTTCCGAGAGGTTCACCTTCTACGTTACTGCTTCAAGACGAGACAAAATGCAAATGGAAGTGTTTCCATTTTGGTAGTTGTTTTAGAAAGGTGTCTGTTCAGGCATTTGGATTTTTTACATCATGTCCCCACTTTGAGTTATCTGAAACAAATCAGTCACAACTGCAGCTACTGTGGAAGAACACAGAAGAGGACCTTTTGGGTTCCACCACAGGCTTACCCTAGAGCATATATTTCATTATAGATTATTATCAGTTTACCAAGCAGTGATTGGCTTCTATGTCTTCACTTTCTTCTTGTTCAGTGAAGGGTTGTTTGGGATGCGAGTGGTTTACCTCAGTGATGATGGCCACAAAGAAGCCTAATTTCACATGATGGGAGGAGTAATGAAATAACAAAAATGCATTTTACAACACACATCTCTAAACTGGTGCAAATACTGATACGTGTAACATGTTATGCAAGACATCTTTTGTATGTGATAAGAAAAGGATAATTGGATCAAATGAAATAAAACGTCGATAGTTTGAGTTAAGCCTTATGATGTCTTTTTTTTTTTTTTTTTTTTCCTTGGCCTTCTAAATTGTTCATACCCCTGGAAGATTTACTTTATCTTGCAGTGAGATAAACTGAAATATTCTTACTTCCATTTTTTCCTCCCTCCTGCATCTCTTAATCAGTCTTCCCTAATGCTTATATTGAGTCCACAGAAAAGATATTATAATTGGAGAAGCGGGAACACTTGGCTAACATTTCCCAGAGGTTGACATGCTTTCTTTTTAGCCTATGCTAAAAGGAAAAGAAGTAGGTAGTTAATTTTCCTCTTTGGTGGTGTATGCAGCCAGTCAGTTCTGTCTTGCCAGCATGAATTACATTGGAACAGTAAGGCATGGGAGACGAGAGGAGGCCTCTTTCAATGTCTGAAGGTGGTGAAAGGGTTTATTTTTGTTGAGAGCTTTCTTTCCTTTTTTTTTTTTTTTTTTTCCTGTCTCCTGGGTTGGATGCATAGCTGTCCCCATTTGTTTGAATAAGAGATGATAATTTGGGGGGTACAAGGTAGCAGCTTTCAGAGCACTCTGTTGTGACTGGGATTAAGGAATCTCAAAATATTCCAGAGGCAGGAGAGGAACTTACAAAGGTGACACAGTAGGCTGAAAAACCAAGGAGGAACTGCATGTGTTCCCCAGGTACACACGTATCGTATCATCCGTGGTCAGAAACAGCATGCTGTGTCTTGTGCTCTGTGGGTCTGGGTTGAGGGTAAAATGGACAGTGTGGGCTTATTTGCTATCCATTTTCTCATTGCCTGTGCCGGTAGAGCACCTCAAAGCCCTTTGTCAGGGTAGATAAGATGTAACTTTCTAGTGTAAACAACAGAACAAGAAGAATAAATGCAAACAAAAATCCACCTTTCTCTCCTTTCCTTCCTTAAGAAAGGTATTAATTTGTTTAAAACTTATTAGTTTATATTAATTCATTAACTTTTTTCTCCGATAGTCTCTTATCCAAAATTAATTCATCACTTGCACTTAGATGCCTTTAGTGCACACCTCTAATCTTAGGGATATATCTTGCTGACTCCCTTAATGCCCTCTCACCTAGCCAGGCCAAGTTTCTGCAGAGTCACTTGACAGTTTACTTTAAAGATCAAGGATTTCAATTCTCTAGTTTTGAAGGAGAAAAAAAAAAAAAAAAAAAGTAGTAAGGAAAGGATAGCAAATTAAAATATGATTTTTGATATCTCAATTATTTTACTTGTCTGTACCAAGACATGCTTACTGGTTGGTTTGTTGTAGGGCTATTTCAAAAGCAGAGAGATTTAGCGGAGACAATGTAATCTACAAGCCACCAGGGGTAAGTGTAACTATGTATTTTATTCTGCTTATTGTCATTATATGTGAATAAAAAATAATGGAGACTATATTCAGATCATTCAGTGTGTTACTGCATCTCAATTTTATTTCATCACTAAATAGTGTGAGAAATAGGGCCATAGAGATCTTTTTTACTGACTCAGAAACACTTGCGCCTATTTCATTTGTTGCCAGTTAAGTGCACAAAGCCTAAATCTGTCATTTTAAATGTCAATGTCCAGAAATATTTTTTTCTTAGAAACACAGTTGACTCCTCGTGTGTATAGATACTTTGAGTTCTGTGTAAGTCTTAAAAATCTGAAGTTCCACAGCTGGTGCACGTCATGGTTTTCAAAGCAAGTGCCAATTACTAAATATTTTTCTGTCACTTGCCTGTCTTCTGTGTCTTAGCCCACAAGGGCAAAAATCTGTTCTCTTCATTTAAAAGAAAGGAATTAGTAAAATTAACTGTATGTTAACAAACTCTCATAAGCATAGTTTTACTTGAGGAATAATTCAATACAGAAGAAAATCTGCAAGAATCGCTTTTTAGAAACATAATTAATATCTGAAAATCTGCTCCTCTCTCAAATATAATCTACGAAAGAGTTGCTTACATCAGAAACCTTTTTCTGCAAAACCAGAATTTAAGTTACTTAATTTATACGGCGTTTCTGAATTAAGACATGCTTAATCATGGCTACAGCTTGCAAAGTCATGCTTCACTTCATGTTAACCAAAACTGTAATGAGAGAGCTTTTTGGTGAGTCTTCATAACTATTAGCATGAAGAAGCTTAATATCTGCATTTAGTTTATATCTTAATGGGTTTTTTTAGGTATGGAGGTACTATTTCTCAACCTGACAGAAGTCTAAATAGCCTTTATTTGTAGCATCCCTAGTGTGGGGGAAAAAAAGTATCTTTTCAGTTCTTCTTAAGTGGAGTTGACTGCATAAATGATCATCTGTAAAATTTATTTTCCTGTTGTACTTTTGTAACATAATTAATAGAAATGTTGCATGCACAAGGGTAGAATATTGGTATAAGATTGGCTTTCAATATTTATGTGGATATTGTTACTTTTATGTTGGGTAGGTAATCTTCTTTGTATGTAGCAATGTCATTTTCACTGTTTCTCAACTAGTATATTCTTCTTTTTCAACAGGAAAATGCTCCAGATATGGTATATTTAGGCTCGCTAACCAATTTTGATTTGATTTATGCATGGACACAAGATAAATGTGTACCGCTAGTTCGAGAAATTACATTTGAAAATGGGGAGGTAAGAATTTTTTGTACCATTCTACTTTTGGGTTTCCTTTCTCAAAACCAAAATGTCTCTATCTAGGTCTTTAATCCATGCCAGAGAACTTCCTGCATGCTTTGCTTTTGACAGAAAATAGCTGTCAGGTAATGTCTTTTCATTCTTTTGGAGATTTTTGATTAGACCCTGAAGTTCACTGGAGGCAGATTAGTAGTAGTTTCGTACACTACCAGAGTAAGAGGTTATAGTCATGCATCTAGATTCCATAAGAAGTGTCTGGTGATTTGTGGAGTGTGAACACTTGGATGCTAAGAATGTGTGTGCCTGTAAGTATGTATGGGTGTGTAACGCCTTGGGTAGGTTGTATTATTCATCTAAAGTAAGTACATATTATTTATACAGATGTTATGACTAAATGTTGATTTAAGGTCCAGACATAAATGTTATTTGATTGCTTTTTGCATCTGTTATTACCTTGAAAAAAAGTTACTACTCAGGGTAGAAAATACCCATGTCAGCATGTCCATGACAGTTTGAAAGAGTAAAGTAGTTGTGAACTATCCTTTAATTGTAATCAATTTTTTTCTGCTACTAACTTTAATGTTAAATATTAAATGTTACTGTGTTTACCACTTCCAAAGCATTTTCTAATAAATAAGCACATTAAAAGGTGGCTGACCCCATCTGTGGAACTGCCAATCTTCTAGGAATTGTACTAAAATACATGTGTGGGATTTTTGTTTTGTTTTTTTAGCTGTAATTCGCAAGACAGAATTTGGGGGCTTGCTTTTAAACATCTCTTTTCTTCCAGTTATCCTTATTTTCTTTCAATATTTTTCTGTTTTCTTTTGTAATTTACTCCTCTTTCAACTATTTCCAATTCCATATTAATTTTTATTTCTGTAAACCAACAGTAAAAAAAAAATCTTTAGAAAATTAGCAAGTTTGTAGTATCTCAAAAGGAGTATTTGTACATAGCCACAGCATCTGCTAGAAACTCCAGTGAGGTTTGTAACAAATTACAGTATGTTGTCCACACTGGATGAGAAACCAAAGAATCAGTCATATGATTTGTTCTCAGTCTGCACACTTAATTTTTTTATTCTGACTCTGCAGTGTATGTAACGCTGCTATTCTGGGCACGCACAACGTGTCAGGTTACATGACAGAGGGAGGGATAGGGTGGGATGCACAAAACAGTTTAAGTACAACCTTCTAGTCAACCCCGCCAACTTTTATTGGAAAGTTCTGTTAGTTAAACAAATTTTAATTCTTCGTTTGCAACTCAATATGTAAAAGATGCCACATGTTAACATGTTTAGAAGTGTGTGGTAGATTTTCAGTGTACTTTTCCCACAGTGAAATTGGATTCTGAGCCTTAGAAGCCAAGGTTCATCACTGTCAGCTTGTACCACATTGTGTCATGGGCTTTCTGGTTGTTCCCTCAAAACTCAATTCCTGTTTACTTAGGCAGATATTTACAATTCCAATGTGACATTTTGCCTAGCAACATTTGTTTAAAAATTTCAGTGCTGCCAGTACCCAAACAAATTTAAACATGCCAAAATTGACATACTTCTGCCTGCTGAAATTGTATAGTAATTAAAGGGGCTCTTAATGCATACTGCACAATTTTACAGGGTAAAAATATGAAGTTCTGTGACTGAGGTAGGTTTTTCCCTCATTTTCTTTCTTAATGTTTTCATTATCTGATAAGTGTTACGGGCAGACCAGCCAGGAAGATGTCAATTCTGAACAGAGTTCCTCATCGTGACTTTAGACAGCACACCGTAACTGAACTCTGAAGCAAGGTCTTCTGCTTGAGAAGACTGTCCGTTCGAGAGACAGTCCCTGTACTTGTCAAGGAAAGGCTACTGGGATTAGTAATATCATTCAGAAGAAATCACCGTTCAACCTGTAGTCAGTTTGTTTCGGTTTACTTTGTATGAATACAGTGAACTGTGTGGTCTAACAATGGTGCTGAACTGTAAGTTTTTGGAAGAATAAAAAGCTTCTCAAAGGCATGCAGGAGTAATGTGGGCAGCTCAGATCTCATCACAAGTCTTTTGCTATTCTCCATGCCAAACGAGACGGTAGCTTTTGAGGGAGCAGTCCAAAGCAAATGAAATCGTTATTCCGCTCGCTGCATCCTGATCAGTAAGACATGCTATGAAAGCTGGAATAGAAAAGCAAATGAAGGAAGGTATTTCACAGAAACCAGTTAGGGCCAACATTAGCAAGGCTTTCAAGCCAGCTGTCCTAACAACCCGTTTGGAGATGAGTTGATCTTGCGAATATAACTCGCCACATATAAGGGTTTTAACTACGCAGATATCGAAACAGAGGTTGTCCTTTTAGCTGCTTACAAGCAAGAGAGGAGCTTAGAGGCAGAATACCAAACTCTGTTTTGGGAGTTCTTCCTCTGGAGATGTACCTGCTGAAACAAGTGAGGAAACGGAGCTGTAATTGTAATGGTACGAAACAGACTTTTTCACATCCTCCTATAGGAGAGGAGGCTGAGACCCAGCTGAATTCATGTATGTAAAAATGAGAATGAGCAAATGTCATTAGTCGTTGCTTAGGGATGGGTTGGGAAGCTTGGATTTCATCAAGAGCACTGAAATTATTAGGATCTTTGCAATCTGCTGTTAAAAGACCAAGCTTCAACTTAAACTAACAGACTCTGTTGAAGGGGGAATGATAGCCATCTCACGTACGCTGTAACAGGCTGCCTACTGATATGGGAAGCATTTCTTCCAACTTACTGCAAATGGAAAATATGAAGAAACCATTCTGTTAAGTGGCAGAAGGAACGAGTGCTACCTTTCTCCAAAAGCATAGATTTTATTCTGATACAGGCTAGAATCAAAGAAATAGCAGCACTTGCTTGTACACTAGTTGTGCAAATGAAAGATAGGCAAGACTGCAGGGATTTGCTAGACGATAAATGATTATTTCTTCAGTTGGGCTTTAGTGAGTTGAGCTGATGTTCAGAGGTGCCTAAAATTCACTTTTTGAAGCAAGCAAATGCATGTTGTTCATGTTTTGTATGGGGTTTGAGGGGGGGAAAAAAAAAATCTCAAATAAATTATTGATGTTCCTACGCTTACCTGTCCCTGGACAGAGATCTTTAAAAGGCACTTGGGCTGCAAGAACGCATTTCTATGAGGAACTAAATCTTGCCTCTCCAACAAAGGTTTTCATTTCTTTCATCAATTTTAGTAATATACTAGCCTGTGAATTTAACAAAGGTGTTACACAGATGACCGGTCAGGATACACAGCCAAAAGAGCAGTACTTGATCATAACTGATATAGCTATGTCATTAGCTTCTGCTTTTTTCTTTTTTCTTTGTGTTTTGGTGTTTGTGGTTTGGTTTTGGGTTGGTTTTTTTTTTTTTTTTCTAGGATGGACTTACTTAAAGATATTCATTGTGTTACGCTAAGAAAACACCAACTTACTATATGAACCAAGCTAGGGCTGGGTCTAGAATATACCCTCAGCTTTTCATAGCATTTAATCCCATGCTGTTCAGGCCTTATTGCTGTTTCTAAGATGATGTTGTGTTTTCTCAGAGTTGGGCTATTTCTTTTGAGCAAGTATTCCAGTGCAAGTGTATCCCTTGTGGAAATGTTGATAATGAAACACCTTCATCCTTTATCTGCGGTATATGATACAGAGGAATGAAACATGGTTAACTGTATCAGTTGGGTATCTTAGATGAAGGGTCAGCAGTTAACATCTTTAGTCCTGTTCTTTCAGCTGTTTTTAAAGTAGACATCTCATGGAATTTGAAAATTGATGGCGTTGTTAACTTAAGGCCCCTTAAGAAATGAGATTTGTCGTTTGTTTTCTGTGCAGGAACTGACAGAAGAAGGCCTTCCTTTTCTCATACTTTTCCACATGAAAGATGACTTGGAGAGTTTAGAGAAATTCCAACAGGAGGTTGCACGGCAGTTAATAAGTGAAAAAGGTTTGTAGTAACTCTTCCTACTTCTCACTTTTACTGGTATAACTTTTTTCAGGCAAACTCAGAGTGGAAGCAAAGGCCAAACAGAATCCTAGCTTTAAAACTCTTGAGCCCGAAGGGGTTCATGTACTTTTGACAGTGAGGACCAACTTCTCTGGAAATTATTAAAATTCATATACCACTTATTAGTAAGTAACTATTTCAGAAACCCTTCTCATCTAGATGACTTCATGCAGTTTGAGAGGGCATTAAACAAAACTTCAGTATTTATTGTGGCCAAAAACACTTTCAAGAAAATCCGTTCTTTTGATGGTGTTAGTTATTTAAATCTGTTCTCAAGTTTTGCATGTTGTGTCTAATATCTCCACCTTTGTAATACTTTAGAAAGTGTTCAGGCTTTCCAGATAATAATAAAAAATCCTAACATGGAATTTTGTCTGCTCACAATTTTAAGGTACAATAAACTTCCTCCATGCTGACTGTGATAAATTCAGGCACCCACTCCTCCATATTCAGAAGACTCCAGCAGACTGCCCTGTTATTGCCATTGATAGCTTTAGGCACATGTATGTGTTTCCAGACTTCAGTGACTTGTCGTAAGTATTTTTCTTTTGTGCATTTTGATTTGATAAGAACAAAGGAAAAGACATGTGCTTGTATTTTAATCAGTACTATGATAGTAAGATGAATAAACCTGGGATAGGTAAGGCTGCCTATGTATGATTCAGCATCAGAGCCTTAAAGCAATACGAATTAGTGTGAAGTCATTGTTTAAATGGAGTTGCATTGCTCTATGTGAGGAGAGAATCTCACATTAAGTTTTTAGATGCTGCTCTTCTTTTAATTCAGAGTTTTGCTATTTGCCATAGTAGTTAGGCATCTGGAACCTGGCATGGTATTTTTAGTGGTGTTCTAGATATATCAATTAACTTTAAAAGGTTTAAAATACTACATGGAATGTTTAAGTGCGGTGTTGCACAGAGATTACTGTAAAATGCACCATGTAAGAATTCCCAGCCTGCTGGTTTGTTTTTTCCTGCTGCGCAATTCCAGCCTTTCCTGCATTAGTCTAAACCTGGAAAGCTGGCAGAGAAATCCTTGTTGTGTGGGGGGGTTTCCGAAATTTTCTACGCTTGGAAAATGGCTGATCCCTAGCATGTTATTTGGATAAAATATGTGAGAGATAGGAATCAGGGTGCTTAGGTGAAATGCCACTTTGATAATCCTCTTTTAGACCAGCCTATTTCCTTATGTTGTACTGCCTTAGAAGCAAATGTTCTGTCTCCCGTGGTTCAGTTGAGGAGTGAAGATGTGTACATGTTATCGTCAGGGGCTTTCAGCATGAGATAAGGGTTCTGTCTTTCTCTTCAGGTTGTGTAAGCTTTGGTTTCTGCCTCAAAGGAGGTACCTGCATATATGCTGCTTGTTCAGTCCTGATCAGATGCCTAGGCTTTGAGACTTGAATTTTTGCCCATTCTGAATTTTTGCCTGTTCACACTTTTAAAAACTCAGGGTATTTAATTTTTGTCAAAGCCAAGGATTCAAAGCTCAGACTTAGCATGCAATGTGAATGTAACCCCGTGTCTAATTCTGCCATTCCAGCAGGCATTTTTCTACCTGAAATGTTGACATTTGGAAAAAGGGTTCAAACGTAGCTTCTCCCCAGGCTTATTCTTAAAATGTAGTCTTTGTTTGATGTATCTTAAATAGTGCTTTTCAAATATCTAAAGCTATGTATGTGGAAACTCTGATAGTGACTGGTTTTCTCCCTGTGTCCCTGTTTCTTTGGAAGGTCGTGTTCACTGTGCATGCCAGTGCTTTAAAAAAAATAGTGGGATATTTGCATTTTGAAAGAACTCTTTTTATTGTCACTTTTGAAACAGCCCTAAAATAAATTACTATCTCTTATAGGGTAATAGAGCTGTTTAGTTCAGACTTTCATGTTATGTTTCTTACACATCCTGTTAGTGTGAAACACTGTCAGAATAATAAAAGCTACATGCTTGTTTGTATACCAGTTGTTACATACAAATGAAGATGAGAGAGATGTCAGGATTGTAGACAGTTGCTTAATGATAATTATTCAACCTTACTTTAGGAGATTGAGCTGATACTTAGAAAAGCCTAACAAACAGTTTGGAAACAAGGAGAGCTTGGAGCTCCTGGGGTGATACTCTTGTGTGTGTGTGTGTGTGGTTTGGATTTTTGTTTGGCTTTGTTGTTTTTTTCTTGTTTAATAATAGGTAAAATCTTAATTCTGAGACTTTCATCTACCTGCAAGGATTTCTGCCACTTTTGTACATTTTCCGTACTCATTTGCCAACTGGCCCCAGACTGTCTCTTGTAATCTCAGTGCTGCCACCAACCACTAGGGTTTGGATATGGTACTCTCAGAACTGGCCCACTAAAAGGTTCCCTCTCTCTTTACGGAGTTGTCTTTTTGGAGAATATCCACTTCATAGGCAAATCAGACCGCCACCCAATATTTTGTCCTCATCCTTTGGCCACCTGGCCC